GCAAAGCGATCACCATGAAAGTATTTGATCATTTATTGGTTTCTTCAAGCACTGATGGCAGAGCTTAACCCCTGAAGTGCAATAGGTTCTGTAATCAATTTGTCTTTGGAATAAACTTGGACCAGGACTTGATTAGTAAGGTGTGCTGCTTTAAGTCTAGACTCTTTAAACTCCAACACACCCCAAGGTGACCCTGGAAATCCTTCCCTCAAGGACCTGACCACAGATGATTGGCCAGTACAGGTGACAGACTTGCACACCTGGGTTTGGATCCTAGTTTGAGCGCCCCATGCTTATCACTGTCTGATGGAGTAGAGCAGGGCACACTTCTGACTTGCAAAAATCATTGACTCTTGACACTGACTGGAGAGGTGTGCTTTGTAGGCTGCTATTCTTCCGAATGAAAAACTTCAAAGATGTTCCCAATGCAAGTTTGCCCAGTACTGCAATTTGCTTTGCCAGTAGACAAGGAGTGTCTCCGTCAGCCTCTCATTATTTGCTGTGATGACCCACTACCCCACAGAGGGAAGCTCATCTCCAAACCGGTTCTCTTCATGATGATATCTGGATTATTAATACAAGGCGCATACATTATGCGCGTCTGGTGAGTGCACAATACCTTACCAATTTTGCACGGTTACCGGGTCGTGTCACCATAGCACAAGAAGCATCTTGTCACCATTACATTGGGACTTTTTATTGACCTTTTATTGATGTTTTTTTGCCTCACAACAATTTAGCGCTGAACATTTCTGTTTATTATTGTCAAAATTGTAATATGTGGCAGGTTAGAACTCAGTAGATGTGGTGGATGCATGAGGGTTTTTTTTTTTTTAGGCTTTTCCCCATTTTCACCTGGTGATCTGGCCAGTAACACACCTCCTGTATTAGGATACCCCCATTCTGAATGAAGGTGCACACGGGGCGGGGGGGGGGGGCCACCTTTGGACAGAAGCATTGTCAGCTTGCGGGGAGGGAGTGTTAGATATACTAGCAGATTTAGATACACTAACAAATTGAAACCAAACTCCAGCTAACGTTTTATAATCAGTTACAGGAAATTTTTATTTTTTTTTCTCCTTTTGGGATAAAGATTTTACATATATAAATAAAAGCTGATCAATGTAAGCACCCCTGTCAGTGGTAAATGTTTGTCTCATCCCTGTAATTACCACATCTGCAGGACAGCTTGTTCTTTTTGAAAAACACTTACTGTCTTACTATTGGGATCACCAGATGAAAGCCTAAAAAATAAAACGAATGCAGCAATTACATCTAAGAATTGGTAAGCTGCAATATAATGCTTGCTTTTGGGGTTAATACTGGTTTAAGCCCTCAGTGTTTTTTGAGCACAATAAAACATTTCCCAGTAAACAACTTGTTAAAAATCTTACTCCAGTTTACAACAATCAATAGTAGAGTATGAGACAAAACCTCACTTTGGATACAGTAAGGGAGCTATATGTGTCCCATCGAGATTTCTCTTCACTTTCTGCCCCATATATTTCTCCAAAGTGAGGGAATCCTGGTGTGTCACCAGAACTAGTGTCCCCATTTCCCTCTAGTACTGTTCTGATGGTAACCCAAACGTTTTGATTTTCTTTTAATGATCTCTGCTGTCATAGATGCTTTAAAGAGTGAAAAAAAAATAAAAGATGTACATAACCAAGTATATTTTCGGCTCTGTTCACACCTATGCAGTTTGCTTTTTGTCCATTTTGCAGTGCATTTCCAGTTCGTTTTGCGCTTTTCTACACTTTTGATTTGTCTTTTATGTTTTTGATGTGTTTTTACCACAGGTTTTTTTTTGTTAAAGTTAAATTTTTTTTTGTTGCTGTGCAGAATAAAAATGCAAAATGCAGCAAAAAGGCACTACCCTGCATTTCAGCAGCTTCTCCATTGAACTATATTGTCGCAAAAAGCTGCTTTTTGCTTTTAAAAAAGTCCCTGACCCTTTCCAAAAACGCAGGAGCTCAAAAAAAGTAGATGTGAACATGTTCCATAGGAAACCATGTTAAATGGACTTTAGTGCGGTTCGGCAAAAAGCACTAAAAAACACATTGGTGTGAACGGAGCCTTAGTCTGAGCGGAGATCTGTGTATGAATGGGTGAGTGTACAATCACTTAGTGGGCAGCAGGGGGCACTACTAACCTACACGCTGAGCACAGGCAGACATTACTGCGTAGGGATGCATTGTTGAATTTCCAGGTTAGTGTCACTGAGGAAAAACCTGACCTGCCAAACACATGGGGAACATTTCACTTGAAGCTCTATTTAAGAAAAAACCCCAAAACACTCATCCAATTATGTGTTAAAATAAAGTGAGTTCTACAAATGTCTGAATGATCTTGGTCTGGGTATCTCCGTGTGTCTTGATATTTGTCTCCTGTCCAGCATTCAGGCAGGAAGAAAGAGGAACAGCACTGGAAGGAAGCAGAGGGATGACCTCATCAGTGTGCAGCTGCTCCTTCATTGTCCAGTTAACAGAGGGGGGGTGTGATTCTGACCAAGCTGTTACAAGCCAGCTGTGCTGCATGGTAGGTGTGCCTGGATCATGGGAATCATTACTGTAGGCAGGGCCACTAGTCCTCCTGTACGGGCCCAGTCCAGCAGGGGGGCTGCAGATGGGTAAATCAGATGCAGGCAGGGATGGTGATCAACTCATGGGATGGGGGGGCAATTACTGGAACCAATCCCCTGTATGGCTCTCTGCAGCAGCTGCAAGAGAGAGACATACAAGGGATCAGTTCCAGTAACTGCCCCTCCCGCACCCATCACCCTCCCTGTGCACCATATGCTTCATTCAGCTGCCTAGGCGCCCCCACCCCTGCAGTGCTGCTGGCTTCTCTCTTCTCCTTCCCACTGGCAGCTTCAAGTACACAATAGGATCCTGCAGGAAGGGTTTGCTAAATGTGTCACATTTACCAGCCCCTTTCTTTCCTGAATGAACACAATGGTGATGGTAACCGATCACTTACTGTGTTCATTCATAACTGAAACATAGTAAACTGTTTTTGTTGGGGGAGGGCTGTCAGATTGGCGGTATGGGGCCCCGTGGTATCTAACAGCAGCCCTGATGATAGGGTGTAATTAATTGGATGTAACTATGGAGAGTATAGCCTTCTAAGATGCCCTTTCTTCCTCTGGGCAGCCTCAAGCAGCTGCCAGTAGTGTGTTACCATCTGGCTCCTGCACATTTAAAGGAGATCTATGATCCCAGCATACACTTTTATTTTGTAACATTAGCATTGTAGTAACAATACAGACAATAGTTATTTTTGACAATCCAGTATGTTTACTTGAAAAATTTCCTTTCATGTTGTGAGGTTTTCCTGTCTGCAGGTCTCTCTTTCCACTACTTCCTGGATTCCCTGCATGTTTTGCAGCTTCTCTGCTGTTTACTTTCCATTTCTAAGGGCTACATATCCCATGGTACCTTGCTTCCTGCAAGCAGTGATCCCTACACTGACTCGCCTCTTGAAGCTCCTCCCAGTTTTTCTACAGTACAGAAGGCAGGCTCTGTGAAATGTGTGACACAGCAGGGCCTACTCACAGCGACTATGTGTCACAGGATTCAAGTAGTAAATGTGTGAGAATCTTCACAAAGTGAGTTTCCAAGTTTCAAGAACAGTAAGAAATCATTGGAATACAATGTGGAAAGGAATATATGATTTTATATTTGGACCACAGATACTCCCTAAACAAGGCACGGGGCCCAGAGACTGGACCGAGAATCATGTTGGAGTAGAATGGTGGTGGCTCGGGCTTTGCCGGCTCTGTAACATTTATATTGGTTTGCACGTGAGAACACGTATGTACATGTCATGTTTACATTCTGACAGTTGGAATGTGAAAAACAAAACTTCTCTCTCTCTCTATATATATATAGGAATGGAGCCGTACGACCAGAAATTCCGCATTTCATGTCCCTGTGCTGTTGGCTGTCGAGTCGTCCGAACACAGAGGGGTGATTGGGTTGGTTGGTGTGGGTTAACGCACCTTGTGCACAGGGCTGGCCTCCGGCCTGTTACCCCCCCCCCCCCCCCCCCCCCTTCCCGGCTGATTACATCTCTTCACAGATTAACCAGATAAAGAGGAAATGGTCCCATTGAATGTCCAATAAAGATTATGTAGCACTCCTATGTCTGATCACACTTGTACTGTTGGCAAAGTTATGGCTCGTTTATGTCGGCAGCAAGGTCTGATGCTGCTCTGAAATACAATCTACGCTTGGATTGCTTTTCAGAGGCATTTGGCAGACCGTGAGGAGATGATATTTCACCTCCTTGCTGCTTATTTTAACCCCTAAATGCTGCAGTGCTCACTAAACGTAACAGAGGGTATAATTCCTGCCGCAAAGCATTCCTTTTTTGTTTTCGTTCAACCTACTGGCTGAATGAAAAAAAAATATTAATGTGTGGGCTGATTTAAGAGGGGGTGCTTAAAACACAGCTCAACCATGCAATTTTAATGCCCCCCCTCTGCAAGTCTAAACAAGTGATTAGTTTTTGCTCTCTGCACGGTGTATCATAAAACATTTTTTTTAATGGAAATCCTGTTGTTATCCTGTCTTCCATCTCAGTATTGCCTCTTTGTGCCAATAGAGCCAAGGATTTTGGGGAACTCCTCTCAGACTGTGGCCTGGCTTGGTCAAGGGGCACCAGGGAAGCCATTCCAGCACTTTCCTCAGTCCCATGTTGTCATAACAGAAATGCTATGTCCTTAGCACCATTGTAAAGCTGGCTATACACATGCAGAATTTTTGTCATTTTCAGAATGTTTGTTCAATTATATTTAATTTTTGTCAAATCCAATAGGAATGAACACATTTTTTATTTTTGAAATCGCTCCCGCCCGAACAAAATCCCAATTAGTTTTATGCGCATGCACTTGTCAAAGTAATTCAGAGGTAGAACGAGAGCATTCATTCATTGAAAAACATGACATACTACTGGTTAAGGGGTGTCCGCTTGTGCTGAGAGCCTCACCGGAGCCACTGCACTCCATATGACCCAGGGGCGGACTGACCATTTGGAAACTCGGGCACTGCCCGAGGGCCCAGGGTCAGTAGGGGGCCCCATGAGATGCCCCTGGTACCTTTTTCATAGGCTTTTGTGAGTTTGGCCAAGGACACAGAGGCCCCATGATCCCCTATTGCCCGGGGGCCCCATGACTTGTCAGTCGCCCCTGATATGAACCACACTTTCTTCAATCACAAATTATGGAGCAGCCATACATGTTCCATGGCTTTTTTCTACTGTCTGTGTCCCCACTGGGGAGATCCATCCCTCTCTTTGTCCTGGAGAGACCATTGCCACTGGAAAAAGTGTTGAAATATCCAAAATATTAAGTTCTCCCCTGAACAGGAATAGAGAAGAATTCATCCAATTGGGACACCTGTTCTGGTGACAACTGAAAGGGGATTGCCAATACTTGGAGAGATTCGATCTCAGATATTCTATTGATAATGGTGGTATGTTGCATTGCTGTGTTCTGCCATGGAGTGAATGAGCCCTAAAGCTGGAAAATTCATTCATATAACCTCCCAGAAGAAGGATTGCCTGTCATCATTTGAGAGGCGGAGGGTAGAGAATTGGCTGCATTTCCTCTTTCTGTGCCTTTCCAAAATATGTTCCAGAATTGAGCATTCTCAGTCTACTATGAGCTTTCCTGAAATCCTGACCTGTTGTCATCCTCCTGTCATTGTGCAGCAAAGTGCAGAGAGGAGGAACAAAGTTCAGAGCTGAGTGGAGGGTAAACATGGGTGGAGCTCACACAACTTTAACAACTTGTTTACACTTGAAGTTTAATAAGTTTATAATTTGACTTCTGGTTCTGTTTTTACTACATACCTTTAGACCCAGTGATGTCATCACTAGATCTCTGTGCTCCTCTATACAATGCATTCAGATCACACATGATGGGAGGAGTCAGCAGGGTGCTGAACATAGCTTCATGAAAACATTACAGTGCACTGGCTCAGTACTCCTCTGAAGAGCCTTCAGCTCTGATACAGGCAGTGGGCTGGCTCTTGGGAGGAGTTATGTAAATGTCTTGATGGGTGGATGTCAGTCTGGAGGGGGTGTGCCTAGGCAGGCTGTATTTGCATGTATATGCCCACATGTGATGCTGAGCCTGCATGATTAGAAGAACTGATATCGCTGCATTAAAATGTAAACCCACAACAGTAATATCAGTCTGTATATACAGTAAAGCATGCTTGTTATACTCACTGTGGAACCTAAGGGATTCATTCTCTGCATTGTGTAAAAAGGCTGCTTGATCCTGTCTTCTCTGATCCTCCCCTTCTTCCACAATCCTAATCCCATCTCCTGAACATTTCCCTCTGCTGGGCACTGGTGCGTGGCACTGCTGGGCACTGATGAACATTGTTGATCTGATCTCTGACATTTGCTGGTCAGCAGCAGTACTTTCCTCACGCTGTGACGCTGTGATAGTGTGAGATAGTGTGAGAAGAGTGATACAACAGATCACTCGGTGATCTGTTGTATCATCGGACACAGCTGATCATGTGGTGAAAGGTCGCTGTGATTGGCCTTTTACCTCATTGGAGAGCGTCGGATGTGCGCCGCTGATGGCACGCAGGAGGGAGCGTTCTGGGAGGACGTCATATGACCCCCCCCCAGAACTGGACACCCGCACCGCAGCCATCATTCAGCTATAGCGCAGTTGTGAACTGCTAACAATTCCTGCTCCCTGCCAAACAGAATTGAAAGCATTTTTGAAAGCAGCTCTCAGTGTCTTGCTAAGGTCCTCATCCAGGCTCCTGAGGGATCCTGACCATATGGTTGCCATCTTTCCCCAGCCTGGACCGGCTCTGAGACATCAGCTGACAGTGGACTTTAGGCTGTTGTCAGCTAAAAACGGGTCACAAGAGTGTAGAACGAACAGTTTGTTGTGCACTCCCGTGATCTACAGAAGTACAACCAAACAAACTTCAGCCGGCATGACTGATGACCGGCAAATGTCAGAGATCAGATCGACACTGATCATCAGTGCCCAGCAGTGCCACCCACCAGTGCCCAGCAGTTCTACCCAACAGTGCCCAGCAGTGCCGCCAGTCAGTGCCAGCTTCAGTGCCCATGAGTGCTGCCTATCAGTGCCAATCATTTCTGCATATCAGTGCCTCCTCATCAATGCCCACCAGTGCCCCCTCATCAGTGCAGCCTATCAGTGCCACCTCATCAGTGCCGCCTCATCAGTGAAGGAGAAAAATTACCTGTTTGAAAAATGTTATAATAGAAACAAAGAAAAACTTTTTATTTCAAATTTTTTGCTCTTTTTTTGCTTATAGTGCAAAAACAAATCACCCAGCAGCAATTAAATACCACCAAAAGGAAGCTCTATTTGTGTGAATGATAAAAATGTCATATGGTTACAGTGTTGCATGACCGCGCAATTGTCATTCAAAGTAATACAGTGTAGAAAGGTGAACACTGGCCTGGGCAGGAAGGGGGCAGAAGTGCCCGGTAGGCAAGTGGTTAATAATTCATTAAGGTCATGCAGAGTTCCTTTACATAACATCCCGGGGGGGGGGGGGGGGGTGTGCCCTGATACAGTGACAGTGAAGCGGTGCATCTGTATAATGTATACAACCTGCTAGAGCAGTTGCACTACCTGCTCTGTGTAATGGTTTTGCACAGAGCAGCCCCGATCCTCCTCCTCTCAGGTCCCCCGCCAACACTCCATGCTCCTCCCCCCTGCTGTGTACCCCCAGAGCACAAAGCATGCCTTGTCCCCATCCCCCGCTCCATCCTCACTGGCTGTAATTGACAGCAGCAAGAAAACAATCCCACTGACTGACGGACATGTCCAATCCTCATCTAAAGCAGGGGTGTCCACACTTTCTAAGCAAAGGGCCAGTTTACTGTCCTTCAGACATTAGGGGGGCTGGACTGTGACCACTGGGAGTAGAAAATGTCTCGGTATCAGTTGGAGTAAACAATGCCCCATCGTTGGTGTCGATTGGTTGTTATTGTGCCCCAAAATTGGTAGCAATTGTGCCCCAACATTGGTGTCGATGAGCACCATTGTTGGTGTCATTGGGAGGAATTGTGCCCTATCACTGAAGTCATTTCAAGGAATTGTGCCCCATCACTGGTGTCATTGGAAAGAATTGTGCCCCGTCACTGGTGTTATTGGGCCCCATTGTTTGTGTCATTGGAAGGAATTGTGTCCCTTATTGGTGTCATTGGGAGTAATTGTATCCCATCGCTAGTGTCTTTGGGAGGAATTGTGTCCCATCGTTGGTGTCATTGGGAGGAATATTGCCCCACCATTGGGAGGAATTGTGTCCCATCACTAGTGTCTTTGGGAGGAATTGTGCCCCATCATTGGTGTCATTGGGAAGAATTGTGTTCCATCGTTAGTGTCATTGGAAGGAATTGTGCCCCATCATTGGTGTCATTGGGAGGAATTGTGCCCCATCACTGGTGTCATTGGGAGGAATTGTGTCCCATCGTTGGTGTCATTGGGAGAAATTGTGTGCCCCATCATTGGTGTCATTGACAGGAATTGTGTCCCATCGTTAGTTTCTATGGGAGGAAGTGTGCCCCATCATTGGTGTCATTGAGAGGAATTGTGCCCCATCATTGGTGTCACTGGGAGGAATCGTACCCCATCGTTGGTGTTATTGAGAGGAATTATGTCCCATCAATAGTGTCTTTGGGAAGAATTGTGTTCCATCATTGGGAGGAATTGTGCCCCATCATTGGTGTTATTGGGAGGAATTATGTCCCATCAATAGTGTCTTTGGGAGGAATTGTGTTCCATCGTTGGTGTCATTGGGAGGAATTGTGTCCCATCGTTAGGGTCATTGGGAGGAATTGTGTCTCATCATTGGGAGGAATTGTGCCCCATCATTGGTGTCATTGGGAGGAATTGTGTCCCATCGTTAGTTTCTATGGGAGGAAGTGTGCCCCATCATTGGTGTCATTGAGAGGAATTGTGCCCCATCATTGGTGTCACTGGGAGGAATCGTACCCCATCATTGGTGTTATTGAGAGGAATTATGTCCCATCGATAGCGTCTTTGGGAGGAATTGTGTTCCATCATTGGGAGGAATTGTGCCCCATCATTGGTGTCATTGAGAGGAATCGTGCCCCATCTTTGGTGTTATTGGGAGGAATTATTTCCCATCAATAGTGTCTTTGGGAGGAATTGTGTTCCATCGTTGGTGTCATTGGGAGGAATTGTGTCCCATCGTTAGTGTCTTTGGGAGGAATTGTGTCCCATCATTGGGAGGAATTGTGCCCCATCGTTGGTGTCATTGAGAGGAATTGTGCCCCATCATTGGTGTCACTAGGAGGAATTGTGCCCCATCGTTGGTGTCATTGGGAGGAATTGTGCCCCATCGTTGGTGTCATTGGGAGGAATTGTGCCCCATCGTTGGTGTCATTGGGAGGAATTGTGCCCCATCATTGGTGTCATTGGGAGGAATTGTGCCCCATCGTTGGTGTCATTGGGAGGAATTGTGCCCCATCGTTGGTGTCATTGGGAAGAATTGTGCCCCATCGTTGGTGTCATTGGGAGGAATTGTGCCTCTTTGTTGCTGTCAGTGAATAATGTAATGCTGAGGCTAGGTGACATCACTGGTTACTAAGAAAGAGACAAGTGGCGGAACCCACTGTTTACCTAGCAACCACTGACAGGAAGCATTTAGCATCAGTAGATATATCACATCTGTATGTGGAATGTGGTCCCACCAAATGGGCTAAGAGTTCCACGTTTGGATGAACAGTCTGGACCTTGAGCTCACCAAATTACTGCCTCTGTAGGATATTTATCCCTCACCCCTTGTTATGGTGACAACTGGAAAATTTGGAATTTCTCTTCACTTCTTGTCTGGGGTGACACCAACACAGGGTGAAAAAAAGGTTTTGCCTTGACTATAATGGGACACTCCACCTCTAACTGACATTTCTTGTCTGCTGGCGATTATAGGCACTGAGCAGTTTTATTACAGGTGAAGACCACCAAAGATGGAGCCTTGAGGATGTCATCCGTAGGGATGGAGATGATCTGTGAGGAGGGATGGGGATGATCTGTGCGGAGGGATGGGGATGATCGGTGCGGAGGGATGGGGATGATCGGTGCGGAGGGATGGGGATGATCGGTGAGGAGGGATGGGGATGATCGGTGAGGGGGGATGGGGATGATCGGTGACGAGGGATGGGGATGATCGGTGAGGAGGGATGAGGATGATCGGTGAGGAGCGATGGGGATGATCGGTGAGGAGGGATGGGGATTATCGGTGAGGAGGGATGGGGATGATCGGTTCAGAGGGATGAGGATGATCGGTGAGGAGCGATGGGGATGATCGGTGAGGAGGGATGGGGATTATCGGTGAGGAGGGATGGGGATGATCGGTTAAGAGGGATGAGGATGATCGGTGAGGAGGGATGAGGATGATCGGTTAAGAGGGATGAGGATGATCGGTGAGGAGGGATGAGGATGATCGGTGAGGAGGGATGGGGATGATCGGTGAGGAGGGATGGGGATTATAGGTGAGGAGGGATGGAGATGTCAGGTTTACCTGGTATCAGCAGAGAGCGGTGACGTCACGGGGGGTGTTCCGGGTTTCGGTTTGCGCTCACCTGGTCGGGGAGGATCCCGGAGATCTCGTGTGATGTGACCACACCTAGAGAGACGGCCTGACACTGTGGACCCGGGCCCCGAGGAAGGGACACAAGAGAGCTCTTAGGAGCCACAGAGCACAAGAGAGGGTTCCGAGGGGCCACGCAGAGGAGGATACTGAGGGGCACGCAGAGGAGGATACTGAGGGGCCACGCAGAGGAGGATACTGAGGGGCCACGCACAGAGGAGGACCCCGTTGCTCCTCTTGGTATCTGGGATCTCGGAGTTTCCTGCGCCCGGAGGAATAACATCAGGGGCCCCGGATTGTTAGGGCCACAGCAGGGCTCCTGCCACTCCTAGAGGTCACCATGAAGGGCTCCGATTCTTCCGATATAAAGTACAACAACCGACCGCAGGTGAGACCGACACCTACCTGGAGGAGGGTTGATACGGGGGGCAAAAGAATGAGGAGGGGGGGGGGGGGGTTATAAGATGAGAAGTTTCTCATGTCGGAGTGTGGGGACTCCTCCACTTGGAAGGAGGGGGACACCTGTCCTCTATAGGGGGTGCATGTGCGGGGGAGGGGGTGTCTCTTCTATGGGGGGGCTAGCATCCACTGGGAAGGAGAGGCTGTCCCCTATAGGGTTGTATGAATGTATGTGGGGGGGTCCCCTATAGGTGGGTTGGTGTGAATTCTGTATATGTCATGTGTGCCTTACCTGTCTTCATGTATGTGGACTCATTCTCTCCAGTTACATGTAGGGGGATGGGTGTCCATAACTGCATATATTATACATCCATATTACATGTACAGAGCCTTGAAAAAGTATTCATACCCCTTGAAATCTTCCACATTTTTCATGTTACAACCAAAACCATAAATGTATTTTATGTGATGGACCAACACAAAGCGGCACATAATTGTGAAGTGAAAGGAAAATTACAAATGGTTTTCAAAATGTTTTACAAATTAATACCTGAACAGTGTGGGGTGCATTTGTATTCAGCCCCCTTTACTTTGATACCCCTAACTAAAATCTAGTGGAACCAATTGCCTTCAGAAGACACCTAATTAGTAAATAGAGCCCACCTGTGTGTCATATAATCTCAGTATACATACAGCTGTTCTGTGAAGCCCTCAGAGGTTTGTTAGAGAACATCAGTGAACAAACAGCATCATGAAGTCCAAGGAACACACCAGACAGGTCAGGGATAAAGTTGTGGAGAATTCTAAAACCGTGTTAGGTTATAAAAAAAAAATCTCAAGCTTTGAACATCTCATGGAACACTGTTCAATCCATCATCCGAAAATGGAAAGAGTATGGCACAACTGCAAACCTACCAAGACATGGCCGTCCATGTAAACTAACAGGCCCATACAAGGAGAGCATTAATCAGATAAGCAGCCAAGAGGCCCATGGGAACTCTGGAGGAGCTGCAGAGATCAGGTGGGAGAATCTGTCCACAGGACAA